TTTTTAAGATTTCAATTGGAAGATGAAAGTTTAGTTAAGACCCTTTATGAATTTAATGCCATGCCGTATGGCCTGTCCATTGCTCCTAGAACATTTAGTAAGATAATGGAAGAGGTAATAACCAACTTAAGAAGCAGGGGATATAAGTCTGTCATATATCTTGACGATATTCTTTGTATAGGTAAAGACTACAAAGAATTTTTGGATAACGTTAACGAGACTATGGGTCTTTTACAATGCTTAGGTTTTGTTATTAATTATAATAAGTCCTGTCTAGGCCCGCATATATCTTGCAAATATTTGGGATTAATTTTTGATTCCACGGAACTTTCTATAAGTCTACCCATAGACAAACAAAATCATATAGCCCACATAGTACATAGGTTCTCTTTCTTAACTAGTTGTTCGATTAGAGATTTCGCTCATTTGATAGGTGTCCTGACGGCCGCCTGTCCTGGGATAAAATATGGCTGGTTGTACACTAAACGACTAGAAAGACAAAAATACCTTGCGTTTCTAAAATATAAGACGTATAATAAAAATATACATCTTTCAAAAGATATCTTACCAGATTTGCAGTGCTGAAAAAATGTATTTTCAACCAAAACTTCACTTAGAATAACTAAATATAATTATGAGATATTTACAGACGCGTGCTTGACAGGTTGGGGTGCTTGTTGTAATAATATTCGTGTTGGTGGAGGATGGAAATATAATGAACTCGACTATCATATCAATTACATAGAATCACTAGCCATATTTCTAGGTATTAAATGTTTTGTTAGGGATTTGTCGGATTGTAATATTTTATTGCGCGTAGATAATACAACAGCTATAAGTTATAGCAATCGAATGGGAGGAATTCAATTCTCCCATTTGAACGAGTTTTCTCGATAAATATGGCAATGGTCCGAAAAGCGAAACATTTGGCTACACGCATCTTACATAAATAGTAAAGAAAATGTCGAAGCAGACCAAGAATCAAGGAAAATAAACCTAGATACAGAATGGGAGCTAAGCAATAACGCTTATAAGGAGATCGTACTAAAATTGGGGGAACCAGAAATAGATCTTTTCGCTTCTCGTGCCAATGCTAAGTGCAGGACCTATGGGTCTTGGAGACCGGATCCAGATGCCTTATTAGTAGATGCTTTCACTATTGATTGGAAAAACAAATATTTCTATGCGTTTCCACCTTTTTCTTTAATAATCAAATGTCTGGAATATATCATAAGCGATAAAGCCGAAGGTATTTTGATCTTTCCTTATTGGCCTTCCCAGCCTTGGTACCCAATGTTAAATAACTTACTCAGTTCAGATATACTGTTTTTGAAACCTTACAAAAATCTCTTACGGTCTTCTTCCAGAACTCCTCATCACCTGCACAAACAACTTACCCTGGATGCAGCGAGGCTCTCAGGGTCGCATTTATAAGAAGACGTACACCATCAGCCGCTCTTAAAGTGATGATGGTATCGCTTTCAAAGAATACTACACTTCAGTATAGCGTCTCGTATAAGCTGTGGTGGCAATTTTGTCATAAAAATAATTTAGATCCTTACGCAAGTTCTGTACCGTTAATTTTGTTATTTTTATCAGAGCAGTTTAATAATAGGGCCGCTTACGGTTCGCACAATAACCACAGATCGGCTTTATCATTATTTCTAAGAGACTGTGTAGGTTCTAGAGAGCAAATAAAAAGATTCCTAAAGGGCGCATGCAAGTTAAGACCAGCCCTTCCAAAATATACTGGTACTTGGGATCCAAAAATTGTCTTAAATCATATTGGAGATTGGGTTCCCGATGAAACACTTTCAATTGTAAAAGTCACAAAAAATTAGCAGTATTAATGACATTATGCACATCACACCGAGCTCAAACATTGTCTTTAATAAAGAGAGACAATATTAAGATATGTTCTTCAGATGTTAGAATCAGCATCACTGACATAATGAAAACGTCTGCAGCGGGTCGTCAGCAACCCTTATTTTACCTTACTTTATAGAAAATATAAATATTTGTCCAGCCACGGCAATAAAAGATTACTTAGATATTACAAATAAAGTCAGACCCGCAGGTTGTCGGAATTTATTGCTAACATACAGGCGGCCACACAAGGCGGCCACTGCTCAATCTATCAGTGGGTGGATTAAGAACTTGTTAGCGGAGAGCGGCGTGGACGTGACGTGTTTAGTGCACACAGTACGCGCTATGCTGTCACCTCGGCTGCTAGGTCCGCTGGAGTCTCTCTAGATACGATCAGAAAAACAGCCGGGTGGTCGTCGGTATGAGAGACCTTTGCAAAATTTTATCATCGCCTAATTATTATTATTATATATTACGGAAATAAATTTGCAAGAACTGTCCTTTTAAATAATTAAATTAAAACTATTTGATTTATTAAATAAGATAGTTAGACAAGTGAATAATTGTACGTTATTTTGTAACGATTGAAGTAATAAATGATATTTGATTGTTTATGATTTCTGTTTGTTGCTTAACGTAAACATAAGTAACCCAATAAGCAAAACTTTAGCTCTGAACATCTACGTTGTTAATATTATATCTGAAGAATGAAGCGATGCAATATAATATATGATCAAACGAACTTCTCCAAGTGAAGTTCGATCAGTATTATATGAATCGCTTCATTCGATTATATAGATATAATTTCCCTCCCACCCATAACCCACAAAAAGTTTTGCTTAGAATAATATCTTTAAAAGAATGAGGCAGTACGCTCGGACGGCGAGAGGCGTTAGTGGGAAGGGATAATTTCTTTAATGGGGGTAGAGTAAAAATCTTTAAAGGTGCGACTTAGCCTTGTAGAATAAGGAAAATACGTTGTTAATATTATATCTGAAGAATGAAGCGATTCATATAATCCTGATCGAACTTCACTTGGAGAAGTTCGTTTGATCATATATAATATCACGTGTTATTTTGACGCCGAGATTAGGAATTCCGAATATGTGATATTACAATGTTTTACATATTGCGAGATAATAAATTGATATTAAAACATCGATACTTTATCGCTTAACATCTATTATTGAACATCCGTAATCATTATCTCTAAAATAGCATCGAGTATCATACTTAAAGAGAAATTCACAATACAAACAGACTTGATTACTAATAATTTGTATTTTTGACAAATTTTGGTTCCAAATAGGATACGAACTTGGTTGATTAGTGATTTAGTAGTCAATTATCCAGATGCCTTAACGACACGACAAACCCATTACCACTTTATTTTAAGCTGAGAAAAGCTGGAAAACCAAACTTTACTCATTTAAACAAAATTCAAATAAAATCCAGCGCTTCTAATAGATCATATCACTTGCAGACAATTTGCGAAGTATTTTGTATTCCCAAAGCGTCTTCATACAAATACTGTGTAATATGAATACAATTTTCTGTTAAAGTTTTACGTGGCGGTAAGTTAAGTTATAGCTATAATATATTTATAACAATATAAGTAACGATATTGCCACTAATAATACTCCCGCTAACCACTCTAAGAGTTCAAATTATGTTAAGAGTAGTTTACCATAATAGTCGAATGGCGGATTCGTTCTATTATCGAGATAATAAATGAACAATGGTTATACGTTACACATTTTTATAAACTCACAGTCGATGAATCAATATTTGCCTGTTACGGTAGGGCTGCGGTGAGAGGGGTGTCTTCTTCCCCTACCGCTGCAGCCGAGGTGGAGTCGCGGAGGAAGAGGAGTGTTGGTATGGCGATTCTCCACTCGCCCTATCCTCCGCGACTCTGACGTGACCGCACCGTTGATGCGGTGGTGGTGAGGCTGTTGGGGGAGAGGAGTGTCGGTATTGTTAGGCGCCGCTCTCTCTACCCTCCGCGGCCGAAACTTGGTTGACGGCGGAGCCAGAAACCAGATCCGCCGCTGGGGTCGGGAAACCGGGTGCTACTAAGTGCTCGATTTTCCTGGCCCCATGGCCTCCACGTATCGGACTCGGGAGGTCCGATGCGCATTTGTATTTGGAGGCCGTGGAAGGGGGTGTGCTTTGTATTCCTGATGCACCTTGCCTGACTAACTCGTGGTTTTCATCAGTAAAAATTGCTATAGAATTAAGAAAAGTTGGATTATTCTTTATTGGAAATTTAAAAACTGCCCATGCCAAGTTTCCTTTAAAACAACTTCAAGAATATTAATTTTCCACGAAAAAAGGAGCTTCCATATCGGTAGAGGCAGAAGTAGAAGGCATTGAAGTACTTGCGACTACCTGATAAGATCGACAAATCCATTATTTTGTTGCTTCATGTGTCACAACTTTGCCGGGAACACCAGCGCACAAAATACGATATGACAATGATGGGACCACTACTCCAATCATATCAGGCAAGGTGGTTTGGCTCTAAAAGAAGTGTGGCCAATCCAGAATTGGCTACATTTCATGTATGCTTCAATATTTGGTATCATAGAAACAAATGCCTTCTTGGCATATTATTATTTCTTGAAAAGTAAAGACGACCAAATTGGGCATAAAGTTTTCACAGAAAAGTTGTGTTTGCAGCTTATTACAAATTACTGAACTCATCCTGATCAATTATAAAAACTTTTTAACAAAAAAATTAAACCGCAGAAAAAACTGAAAAGCAAAAAATAATAAACATTTTTTATTTAACCTTAATAAATAAGTTCTTAAACTAATTTAAATATACAAAAGTATATATTTTTGTAATTATTTTGAGTTTTTAAGTAACCTTAATAAATAACTTCTAAAACTAATGCAAGTATACCTAAGTAATTTTGAGTCTGCGCCAAACAATCAATGAACAAAGAACACTAAATTACCTTAAATTAAAAGAAATAACCAAAACAAAATCAAATTAACAATGCAACGTGAAATCTTCAGCGATAAACATTAATATTCCAAAAAATGCGCTCTCTGGACAACCACTCGCAACACATCAATTGCATACATCTATTATCTTGCAACAACCGTCAAAAGAAAATATTAATAACATGGAAAAAGATTTAATAGACCCACAATTACAGCAAAATTATAATACAGAAACGAGATATATTTTCACAACCAGTATGCTTAGGAATATAGATGAAAGAATACCTAATTTGGACAGTGTTGTTACCATAGACAACCCTAACCCAGAGGATGAAGTAAGACTACAAGAAGTTAAAAGAAAAACAGCACCGCCCCTAAATTATGAACGTGAAAGAAGAATTGAAGAGTTGGGCTGGTACTTTTTATTCCCTGACGGAAAAAATGGATTTGGTGAAGAAAGAGACGTTTCGATTACCCCATTAGACTACTTCCAAGCTCGTGTAATGAGTAATGATAAAATGTTCCAGAGAAATGATTATTTATTTTTTGCATTGTCTGTAGTCGAGTATTTTCGAGCTAAAGCTAGTGTGTCAGTTTCATGCAGAATGCGTCAAGGGCAAGGAGAATTTACACCCCACGGACTGATTGACAATATACATCTGACTATGAGAAATGTGCGAGGGTCTGCTTCGTACTGGAGACGATGCTGTTCGGAGTTGATTGCTATGGTAAGAAGTCTAGGGCCTCCTACCTGGTTTATGACCTTTTCGTGTAATGATCTTAACTGGCCGGATATGATAAAAGCTTTGCTCATTGCGGATGAACGCAATGTAAATGATATAGATAACGTAACATTTCCTGAACGACTAAAATTGGTGCAAAAATATCCAGTGGTTGTTACCAGACAATTCTCAACAAGAGTTAATGCTCTTATGCGTTATTTAAAACAAAATAATGTCTGTTTGGGTGGAAGTATCCTAGACTATTGGTATAGGATAGAATTCCAGAATAGAGGAAGTCCACACTTGCACATGTTAGTGTGGTGTGAAAACATTCCTGATTTTTCGACAAATGAAGGATTAAGTGTAATTGAAAGAGTTATTTCGTGTTCTTTGTACCCCCATAACAAAGAGTTATTAAATCTAGTTCAAAATGTCCAAATGCATAGACATACCAACACCTGCTACAAAGATCGTACCAACCATTGTTGTCGTTTTGGGTTTCCCAGGGCTCCAAGTAACGCTACCTTATATTTGGGTCCTGATGAAGCACTTACCAACAACGGTCGGTTTTGCATCTTGCGAAGAACTTCTCAAGAAACTATGGTAAATAACTATAGTCCTGAAATTCTTAGTCTTTGCGGAGGAAACATGGACATTCAGCCATGCGGAAATATCTCTGCCGTCGCGTATTATGTTGCAAAATATGCAAGTAAGTGTGAACCTCACGACACTGGAGACGTTGTACGCCAAGCAATTACAAAAGCTAAAAGACGGGGTGACACAGTGTGGAGCCAACTGTTTGCGGTCTCTATGGCAATACTCTCGCAACGATTGGTAAGTGCTCCCGAATGTGCATATCACCTTTGCCACCTGCCGCTTAAAATGAGTTCTGGTAAAACAATATTTGTGAATAGCTGCATGCCAAATCAACGCTTTCGTTTATTTCGATTTGAAGGTGATGAAACTTCAATATACAACAACATATTTAACCGTTACGTGTTGAGGCCGGATGAGCTAGAAAACATTAGTCTAGCAGAATTTGCTGTGCGTTATGAGACGATTTCAAATATTATGTGGAGTGAGGAAGATGGTGATATTGAACTGAGAGAACCTGTTGATGGGCCTATAACAATAAGATATATACGATTGAGGGATGCTTCAAGCATGCGAGTAAGAAATAAGCCAGCTGTGTTACGTACACGTTACTACACACTTAATAGTGACAAAAATGGGTATTATTACAGCTTAATTGTTTGCCATATTCCATTTCGCGATGAAAACCAACTAATCTTGGAAGACGAGACTCCAGAATCTTGTTTTCTTAGACGAAAAGACGAATTAAGGCCTCTGTTGACTAACGTTAGTACCGAAGATTTCGCTCATGCAGAACAAGTCATTCAACAAGCACTTGCCCAGGCAACTGCTTTAAATGTTGCACGTGAAACGCGTTGCGAAAATGTTCCTCGAGAAACGGGTTTCAAAAATATCACGGACGATCAAATTATAAACGCCAATGAACATATTATCCAAATTCAGGACGACTACTGTGAAGATGTAGAAGAAAGAGGTGCAATGCCTGATGATATTTTTTTAAATAATATTAGAGGTCTAAACATACAGCAGAAGGATTTATTTCAAAGAATTTCTACGGCCATTGAAAAAGATTTACATGGTGATGATGAAAAGTTGTTCCTTTTTATAACTGGAGGAGCTGGCAGTGGCAAATCATTTGTTTTAAAATTACTCGTGGAGCACATTAAGAGGTGTTATGCGCCTACAGTTGATTTGCTTCTAAAGCCTAAATTTGTTGAGGTAGGTTCATTGACTGGTGTCGCCGCCCGCCAGGTACTTGGGAAAACATTGCATTCTATTTTTTCTCTTCCTATCGAAAAAGGTAATTCAACTGCATATAGACGCTTAACTGGTGAAAAGCTAGAACAAGAAAGACGTAAATGGCGTAACACAAGTTGGTTAGTGATTGACGAAGTATCAATGGTTTCTTACGAGAACTTACGAATGATTCATATGCGGTTACAGGAATACAAAAACAATGATAAGTTGTATTGGTGGCATAAATATTGTTCTCTTTGGAGACATCATGCAACTGCCCCCTGTAAAAGGACATTGGTGCTTTGTCCAGCCACCTTGGAATGCTGCAGAAGTTAATTTATGGCACGCATTTTCATTCTTCGAATTAACGATCAATATGAGACAACGAAATGATATAGAGTTTGTTGACCTGTTAAACAATTTACGCGTAGGCGAATTGACAACAAGTCAACTGGATTTGCTCTGTCAGAGGCGAATAGTGGATTTAGATGAAGAGTTTAAGGATGGTGTTGTGTTTCGAATATTCCCGACTGTCAACCAAGTTCACGAATACAATAATGAGATGACAGCTATAAATGCAAAACAAAATCGCGTCTATACAATCCGTTCCATAGATCAGTCTCGTGAAGTTGCTACCTATGGAAAGAAACCTCCAGATAATGTTGTTCCAAAAGATGTGAATAATTGTGGTGGACTTTTATCTGAGGTAAAATTAGCTGTCGAATCTCGTGTGATGTTGAGACGTAACATATCAGTACCCGACGGGCTCGTCAATGGTGCTATGGGTATTGTAAAAATAATAAAATGGCCATTACTACGCAGGGATATTAGTACAATTTGACGATGAAAGCATAGGAAGCAGACTAAAAGATAGCGATGGTTGTGTCGCCATACCTTCAGTGGTGGCAACTTTTCAAGGTACGAAGGGTTATGGCGATATTAAACGCGGAATGTTGCCGATAATTTTATGCTGGGCCGTCACAGTTCACTAATTACAAGGTACGACCCTTGATAAAGCAGTAATCGACCTCGGAAAGAAAGTGTTTGCCAAAGGGCAGGCATATGTGGCACTGAGTAGAGTAAAAACACTTGAGGGTATTGCTATATCTGATCTAGAGCCAAATAAGGTATTACACAAACCTCACGATGAACTAGCTTAAGCAGAAATGCAGAGACTGAGAGGTCTACACACAAGAGACTGATAGGTCTAAAGCTCATTCATCGAGAGGTTTTTTGTAATGTAATGTAATTATTATGTAATGTAGTAATACACCACTCAAAATTAAAATCTGTGAGTAAAAAATAAATCAACCCTATTTTCCTACCCTTAGGGTAGACATTTTTTTTCCAAATTTATATGGGACCAATTTCGAGGTATACCCTATCCAATAAAAATAGAATTATCAAAATCGGACTACTCTGAAAAAAGTTATGCGTGGTCATACATAAAAAAAATATACACGTCGACTTGAGAACCTCCGTTTTTTCGTTGGTTAAAAAGAGAATCAGCCTCCCAATAAACAGCGAGTTTTAGGAGGTGAGCACCTAGAATATTGAGAACTTATAATACTAAGTTTACTGGAGCTGATCCCTTCATTGACTCTAAAGACACATTTAAAAAAAAAACATTAAGCTTAATTTCACTTAAAAATACACAATTATTTTTATTTTTTCTGTGAGGACTTTGTCTAAATACGATAGTAAACAAAGAGTGCAAAGGAAAGGCAATATATGCTCTAGGGTGCACGGAAAGCAACAAAAGGCAAGTTTTCATTGCGAAGCTTATAGCAAAAGGTATATAATTTGTTCGCCACAAACTGGAAGAAACTGTTTCGCCTATCATATCCAGCATGGCATTCCAGCTCCAATAATAAGATATAGTTTTATTTTTATGATTGTGATTTGTCTCACTTTGCATCGCAGAAGACTGATCACTGACTGATTAGTTATTAACATAAGCTAACTCCAAACTTAAAAGTTCCTATAGTCTCTTATAAATATTGGAAAATTATAGCGTAAACGATTGTAGTGTTATGCTACTTACATATCATTTTACATTATTTTAAATTCATTTTTCCATCCTGTTTCGATTTTCTGCATTCACCTCAAAACTGGATATTTTACATCACCTTTATTTCCATAGGATCCTGTAACGATTTTAAACCATAAGAACACAATAACAAATCATTTCTACTTCGTATTTTCACATTATCAGCACTTTTAAAATGGTGTCAATGGAGTCTACCTTTTTTCGATCTTTTAGCTAGTTTTCCGTAACTCTACAATCTTGGGCTTTGTGTGGGCAGCTGCGCTACCTTTTTTCCTATATCAATAATATCTCATTTTCCACTTAAATCTTACCGTTTTCTTATTATAAACCTAAAACCAAAATTTGACATGTTTTGATATTGTTATTTATTTCGTTGCTATAGTAATTATATTCAAATTTGCTACCGATCTGTTGTTCCTATTTCGATAATTCCACATAAATACTTTTTTCTCTTGACCATTTACAAAAAATTTGCGTTTAATTTATATAATTTTTCCGTTCTCTCTAGAAAGGTATAAAAGCCGAACAATCGGTGAAGAAAGGCAGTCTCGCTTCAGTTCGCGAATTGGAAGTATCTCCTAAAGGCCTTATCCCGGGGCCGCACTGCCCCGGGATCCTGCAAGCCTCCACCTACACGTGAAGTCTTCGGCGAAGCCTTCTTCAAACGCGGAGCCGCACCACTCCGGATTCCTACAAGCCTCCATCTACCTCGGAAGTCGCTTCGAGTCTACTACAAGCGCGGGGGCCACACAACTCCAGGCGCCGAGAGCACCTACCGCCGGCGCTACCTTTGGGCGCTGCAACTGCTTACTCTAGGCGCCGAGAGCACCTACCGCCGGCGCTACCTTTGGTCACTGCAACTGCTGGCTCCAAGCGTTGAGCGCACCTACTCCAGGCGCTACGTGCGTCGGCTCCGGACACTGCGTGTGCTGGCTCCAGGCGCTGCGTGCCGTCGCTGCTAAGAAACCTACCTCTACAAGCGCAACCGGCGTGTGCTGGCTTCAGGCGTTGCGTGCCGTCGCTACTAAGAAACTTACCTCTACAAGCGCAACCGGCGTGTGCTGGCTTCAGGCGCTGCGTGTCGTCGCTGCTAAGAAACCTACCTCTACAATCGAAACGTGTGTCGCTTCGACTTTTAGGCCCCACGTTGGGCGCCAAATGTCGTGAAGCGACAATAATATATCAAAAAGAATCTAACCTAAGTACAACAAAACAACAAAAGTAAAGCCAGAAAACAAAAAATATATTCAAAATTCAAAGATATTTACAATTTTATAAAAAAATGAAATGAGGATGATGATGAATGAAGTGAGAGTACAATTAGATTACAAAAAAAAATATAAAGGTAGGCGAATAGGGGAATAAAGTGTAGTGTTATGCTACTTACATATCATTTTACATTATTTTAAATTCATTTTTCCATCCTGTTTCGATTTTCTGCATTCACCTCAAAACTGGATATTTTACATCACCTTTATTTCCATAGGATCCTGTAACGATTTTAAACCATAAGAACACAATAACAAATCATTTCTACTTCGTATTTTCACATTATCAGCACTTTTAAATTGGTGTCAATGGAGTCTACCTTTTTTCGATCTTTTAGCTAGTTTTCCGTAACTCTACAATCTTGGGCTTTGTGTGGGCAGCTGCGCTACCTTTTTTCCTATATCAATAATATCTCATTTTCCACTTAAATCTTACCGTTTTCTTATTATAAACCTAAAACCAAAATTTGACATGTTTTGATATTGTTATTTATTTCGTTGCTATAGTAATTATATTCAAATTTGCTACCGATCTGTTGTTCCTATTTCGATAATTCCACATAAATACTTTTTTCTCTTGACCATTTACAAAAAATTTGCGTTTAATTTATATAATTTTTCCGTTCTCTCTAGAAAGGTATAAAAGCCGAACAATCGGTGAAGAAAGGCAGTCTCGCTTCAGTTCGCGAATTGGAAGTATCTCCTAAAGGCCTTATCCCGGGGCCGCACTGCCCCGGGATCCTGCAAGCCTCCACCTACACGTGAAGTCTTCGGCGAAGCCTTCTTCAAACGCGGAGCCGCACCACTCCGGATTCCTACAAGCCTCCATCTACCTCGGAAGTCGCTTCGAGTCTACTACAAGCGCGGGGGCCACACTACTCCAGGCGCCGAGAGCACCTACCGCCGGCGCTACCTTTGGGCGCTGCAACTGCTTACTCCAGGCGCCGAGAGCACCTACCGCCGGCGCTACCTTTGGTCGCTGCAACTGCTGGCTCCAAGCGTTGAGCGCACCTACTCCAGGCGCTACGTGCGCCGGCTCCGGACACTGCGTGTGCTGGCTCCAGGCGCTGCGTGCCGTCGCTGCTAAGAAACCTACCTCTACAAGCGCAACCGGCGTGTGCTGGCTTCAGGCGTTGCGTGCCGTCGCTACTAAGAAACTTACCTCTACAAGCGCAACCGGCGTGTGCTGGCTTCAGGCGCTGCGTGTCGTCGCTGCTAAGAAACCTACCTCTACAATCGAAACGTGTGTCGCTTCGACTTTTAGGCCCCACGTTGGGCGCCAAATGTCGTGAAGCGACAATAATATATCAAAAAGAATCTAACCTAAGTACAACAAAACAACAAAAGTAGAGCCAGAAAACAAAAAATATATTCAAAATTCAAAGATATTTACAATTTTATAAAAAAATGAAATGAGGATGATGATGAATGAAGTGAGAGTACAATTAGATTACAAAAAAAAATATAAAGGTAGGAGAATAGGGGAATAAAGTGTAGTGTTATGCTACTTACACATCATTTTACATTATTTTAAATTCATTTTTCCATCCTGTTTCGATTTTCTGCATTCACCTCAAAACTGGATATTTTACATCACCTTTATTTCCATAGGATCCTGTAACGATTTTAAACCATAAGAACACAATAACAAATCATTTCTACTTCGTATTTTCACATTATCAGCACTTTTAAATTGGTGTCAATAGAGTCTACCTTTTTTCGATCTTTTAGCTAGTTTTCCGTAACTCTACAATCTTGGGCTTTGTGTGGGCAGCTGCGCTACCTTTTTTCCTATATCAATAATATCTCATTTTCCACTTAAATCTTACCGTTTTCTTATTATAAACCTAAAACCAAAATTTGACATGTTTTGATATTGTTATTTATTTCGTTGCTATAGTAATTATATTCAAATTTGCTACCGATCTGTTGTTCCTATTTCGATAATTCCACATAAATACTTTTTTCTCTTGACCATTTACAAAAAATTTGCGTTTAATTTATATAATTTTTCCGTTCTCTCTAGAAAGGTATAAAAGCCGAACAATCGGTGAAGAAAGGCAGTCTCGCTTCAGTTCGCGAATTGGAAGTATCTCCTAAAGGCCTTATCCCGGGGCCGCACTGCCCCGGGATCCTGCAAGCCTCCACCTACACGTGAAGTCTTCGGCGAAGCCTTCTTCAAACGCGGAGCCGCACCACTCCGGATTCCTACAAGCCTCCATCTACCTCGGAAGTCGCTTCGAGTCTACTACAAGCGCGGGGGCCACACTACTCCAGGCGCCGAGAGCACCTACCGCCGGCGCTACCTTTGGGCGCTGCAACTGCTTACTCCAGGCGCCGAGAGCACCTACCGCCGGCGCTACCTTTGGTCGCTGCAACTGCTGGCTCCAAGCGTTGAGCGCACCTACTCCAGGCGCTACGTGCGCCGGCTCCGGACACTGCGTGTGCTGGCTCCAGGCGCTGCGTGCTGTCGCTGCTAAGAAACCTACCTCTACAAGCGCAACCGGCGTGTGCTGGCTTCAG